ATGCAAAATCAAAAAGCTTTTAAGCATAGAGGTTACCCATTCTTTTTCAAGCGTGACTAAAGCATTTGAGTACCGTCACTTTCATCACCATTGCACCCACACACCTACAAGAGACATTTATTTGGATTTTGGTATTCAAATTGCTTTGGATCCTTGAGCATTAGTTTCAATGCCCCTTGTTCCCTTAGGAACCCATACTTGTCTAATTTTAAAAGATTTTATTTTCTTTATGGGACAAGCATGTTGATTCATCTTTGACCAATGAATATTTAATGGAGAATATGGAAATGACAATTGGTAATTTTTAAGTTTTATTAATGGTAAAAAATAAAATTTCATAATAATTGGATTAAAAATTCAATTATATTAGTATTAAGCCATGTGTTAAGGCTAATTAATGATAAACAATCAAGAAATTAGCTCATTTTCAGCTTGTTCTTCTCTCTTGTCAAAACATACATAGCTACCAAGGTATGATCTTTATTTTGATTTTTGTAGTTATATACTTAATTTTTGTTATAAGTTATTATATAGAGAATTAATCTACATGAAATTCTCTATCATTTGGTATCAATATTTCATGGTGAAGTTTTTTGTATGTTGAAGTTGAAAGTAAGGTTTGTGTAGGGGTTTTTTTAAATTTTGAAGAATCCATGAAGGATTTTTTATGTTTTTTATGTTGGGGATTATTCCTAAACCATGTATGATAATTAAAATTATTTGTACATGCATATATAAGGTATGGCCATACCTGGGGTTTGTGAGAATGTTTGAATTTTGATTTAATTTGATGTTGTGAGGATTGGAATAACATGAATTTAATCATAGGATGTTGAATTCATGCTTGAAATTGAACAAAAAGTTCACCTAGATTACTTAAAATATTCGGCCATAGGAAAGAAGTTGGGGGAAATTCTTGAAAAAAATTTATGGTTTAGAAATGATATTAGAAGTGTTCTATGTGATTTGGAGATTAATTTGGAAGAATTTGGAACCTTGAAATAGAAAAAGGATCAGTTTATAAGTTTTGAGGGTTGTGGGACATTATTGCAAGAATGTGATATTTGGAGGTTTAATGCTTATTTTTAATATTTGAAATGCTGGAAATTTAAGTTGCAAAGTTGTTTGGAACCAATTACAAATTTGGAAAATTTTAGGGGTGGAATTAAAAAGGTCTTAAAAATATAGGGATTTGATTGCAAATTTTTAAATGTGAAAGTATCATTTGGATAAACTAGAACAATTCTGGAAATTTTAGAAGGTTGCTAATTTTTGAGTTTAAGTATTAAGTTGGGATTAAATTGCCAGTTTATAAGGTTAATAGTTGAATTCGAAAAGCCTAAGAAAGTTTAGGATGAAATTGCAAGTTTTTGAATGTTTAAGTGTTGATTTGAATATTTTGTTAAGGTGCTGGAAATTTCATGTAACTAAGGTGAACTCTAGAAAGAATTCAAATATAGTGACTTGATTGTGTAATTGGAAAAAGTCGAGGGATTAAAGTTGGAAACAATTATTGTTGGGAATTAAAGAGTATTTTGAGAAGTTTCAAATTTTGATAAAAGTATGACTTAGTTTAGTATCGATTTTTATTTTTATAGAATTTTATATTTTTTCAGTTTAAATTATGTTAGTTCGAAACTAACATATAGTTTGAATATGTTATGTTATGATGTCATATTATCAAAATATGATAAACCTAACGATTCAAACAACCCGAAAGGAAAAGACAAAGCATGTGAGTAGAAATATCATATAAAAGGTTCGATAGTGAGGCAAAGGTGAATGCAATTTATTTATTTAATTACTCTAACCGAGGACGACTTGTGATCATATTATTTTATTTCAAAGAAATGATTTATGTTTTAATTATGGTATTATTTTCATAATATTTTATTAAGTATTATGAATGATTTCATTTATAAACTGCCCCTGTATTTACAATGTATTTGTGTCATCTTCTTTTTTTTATTTTTGTTTACTCGGCGACGACACCAATCTTAATATTGGTTGTCGACCGTCAAGGATTATTAGTTATCTTGTTTTTATACTATGTCCTTTATTTTCTTTTTTCTTTGAGTCTTTAATTTTGAATAAAAATCTTTGTCCTCGTGACACATTTTTCTCTGCTTTTATAGAACTCGTTTTCTCTACTCTTGTGACACGATCCTTATGGCTTTTGATATGTTTTTCGCATACATTTGTGGTCATTTTGGTTCTCACCCAAAAACCATAACGATATTTATTTTTTGATTGGTTTATCAATGGTCACGTATAGTCAGATCCCCTCTTTTGGTAAAAGATTATTTGCAATGTAATCAAAATTGTGTAGCGAAACAGCCTGCTAGATTGTTTAGTTCGCTCTCCACTCTTTTATCATTTCGTAAAGCATCTTATTCGATAGAGACAAGGAGTTTTTTATGAAGGTTATTGAGTTTTGATTTGGTCTTCATTCTCATAGAATGTTTCATTTTTCTTCATATCTTTAGTTTAATATTTTACTTTTGTATGAGTATTTGGTGATTATTGTCTCCAAAATTTTCTCTATATTTTGATGCATTGTAATTTTGATTCATTTCATTATTAATGAAACCCAATTGTCATTATTCAATATATATATATATATACACGACATTAACAATTCTATTAATTTTTTATAATAAGTGAGCAAAATAAAATTAAAATATAATGTTAAGTATAATTAAAAAAATACTTTACTGAATAAAGCATAACATCACTAATAATTAAGTGACTAAATAGTTTGGCAACTAAAATGATTTGAGGCAAGTTGGATAGATTAACACTGTCATATTTATATGGGTAAACTATACATTTAATATCTAAACTATTAGTTTTGGTCGTTTTAGTATCTAAACTTTTAATTTTCTCAAAAGCATACTCAACGTTTAGTTTTTATTTCATTTTAGTATCTTATTGTTAAAAACTTAACGCATTTAGTACCTAAATTATCATTTTTGGTTTGTTTTAATACCTAAACTTTCAAATTTTTTAAAATTTACATTAACTTTAGAAAGAGGTACTAAAAGAAACAAAAACTAATTTTTAAAGACGGATATTAAAATGAAACAAATACTAATTTTTAAAATGGATGAAAATTAATAGTTTAGTTCTGGGAAAATGGCTCAAATAATGTATTTCAAAAAAATATTTTCCAAAGTAATCCACCTCCTACATTATTTCCCATACTAGGCCAAATACTAAAGTACTTTAGAAAACTCCAAGATTACTATGCGTCTTTAGCTTTGACAAATTGAAAATGAATGGATCACCATGCGTCTTTCACCAAAAATTTTAAGTCGTACAATATTCATGGCGTCCTCCTTTTACATTGTAACAATCATCCTAGATTAAGAAATAATATGGTAAAACCCTAAATCATAAACCCCAAACACAATCTAACTCGAACATTAACCCAATTTTAATCTAATAATTAAGTTAAAGTGTATAAAAAATACTAAAATAACTCAACCTAAATTGACCTGAAGATCCAAAGTTGACCTGAATCAAAAATAATTGATCATATATTAATTTGACCTGAAAATCAATCGATTTGATTTGATCTGACCCGAAATCAATCGATCCATTTTGATCTAACCTAATACCCGAACATACCGACTTACTATAAACCCTAATAAAATCGAAACCCAAAATGACTCGAGCCGACCCGAACCTGACCCGAATTAAGTCTAAATCAAAATGACCCGAACAAACCCAATCCGAATGACTTGTTTGTCACCTCTAGTGTACAGTAACAATGAACTTTCTTACCTTTAAATTAAGGGTAAATTACGAGTTTAGTACATAAACTATCAGTTTTGATTTTTTTAGTGCCTAAACTTTCAATTTTTTAAAACAATATCTAAAGTTTAGTTTTTATTTCATGTTAGTATCCTTATCCAAAATTTAACGTTTAGTTTTAGGTAAATTCAATTAAAGACGTAGTTCATATAGCCAATTACTTGGATTCAATTAGAATATCACACACACACGTATAACCTTAATAAAACTATTATTTAAAATTATTTTAGGTCTTATAATTTTTCAGTTAGAATTTTTTTTCGACTAATGAAATGTTAATATGTCGCATAAAATTAGATATTATTTTAATAAAAATAGTTTAAAATTTTAAAAAATATAATTTAAAAATTTATCTTAACAAAAAATTAATTTAGATGTCTAAAATTATTATATATAATAGGTTAAAGACTTCTGATAAAAAATAGTTTAATAATTTAAAGAGAAAGAACATAATTTAAGTTTTTTTAGTTTAAGCCTAAAACAAAATTCATAATGTTGGGACCCATCCATACGAGACAGTCTACTTTGGCCCAAATTTATGTTGGACCGTCTAAATTAATCTTTAAAAGATGTGAAAAAAGAAAAGACTTAATTGCTTATATTCTTATTCTACGGTATTTAAACTTTTAAATATTTTAATTTCATCTATAAACTATGATTATCATATTAAATTAGTCCTTAAACTTTTGAATATTTCATTTTCATCCCTAAACTAGTATCTTCAATCTAAATTGATCTCAAACTTTTTGAATATTTTCATTTCATCCCAAATTATACATATATACTTATCATATCTTTTTTTAATAAAATCGTTAGATAAAGTTATATTATTATGTGTTTGAAAGAATAAAATTTAGATTAAATTATGGTTGAAATTAATTACATATTTGGATAATTTGAGGATGAAATTTGAAGACTCAAAATTTTGAGGATCAATTTAGAATGAGAGCCCTAGTTTAAGGATGAAATTGAAATTTTCAATTTTAAGGACTAATTTAGAATGAGAGTTATAGTAAAAGGATTAAATTAAAATGTTTAAAATTTTAAATACAACATTAAAATAAAGGTTATAGTTTAGGGATATATTATGCAATTAACTCAAAAGGATATCTGATTTTGAAAACCCTAAATCCATGAACCTTCTCTTTATTTCCTGCGCCGCTTTACTTCCTCTCTCACTTTTCTTTCTTTTATTTTTCAATTTCTCTGTTCCCCCAAGCTCCTTCCCCCTTCTCATTTTTATTATTATGTGTTTTGATCAATGGATGTATTTTACAAAACGGGACAGAAGTTTGGCTCTTTGGCTAACTTATAAATCCCTGCCATGGAGATGAATGCTGCTCCCAATATCAAATCCCTTCAACTTTGTCTCCAAATTCGCTACGATCGGCCATCGATTCCAAAAATTCTAGCGGATTCTTCGAAAAAGTTGGTACATCCTCTTTTTATGATTTTTACGAATGATTTTTGGTATGTGAGTAGTGATTCAGGCAGCCTCCTTGCCCTAACCATGGCAGATGGAGGTGTTTAACTGCTCGGAAATAAAACGATGCTTTTGCTCTTCAGATTTGCTGAGGTTATCCCTTGAAGCTGGTCTAGTAAGCCTTAGCACATTCCCTTTCTATTTCTCGTCGATCTCGTAACTGTTTGATATTGTAAAATATATTTTTCACAAATTAATCAATGCCTAAAACTCAGAATTTGAGCTTCAATTTCTGTATGGTATATTTTATTTAATCAGTACTTCACAGGGAATTAAAATCACACACAAACAGCATTATAACTTTATTAGCAATGAATAGTTAAGGAATGAAAGTAATCAGAATTTGATGATCAAGTGGTTTGTTGATTGTTGTTGATATTTTTTTGGAAAATTATGTATTTAGTATATAAATTATCAGTTTTTTTATATAATTTAGTACCTAAACTTTTAATTATGGTTGATTTAATATTTAAACTTTTAATTTTTTTAAACTTAACGTTTGAATAAGGTACTGAAATAAATTAAAAGCTAAATTTTAGTAGGTATAATTTTTAAAAAATTAAAAATTTAGGTATTAAATCTTATCAAAATTATTAGTTTAGGTAAGAAAAAGTTTACCTTCTTTTTCTGTTGTTGGATTACGAGAACTCATTATTAGGGGAAAAAAATTTTGGGCAGCAAAACTTTTCTAAAATGGGATCTTAAGGTGGCCCATTTAATGCTAACCGTCAGGTTAAAGCCCTGTTTACCAAAAAAAACACTGAGCTCGGCCCTTTACAACTCTAAACTCAAATATTTTTTAAAAATTTACATTTAAAAAATAAAAAAAAATAATTTGGACATGCACAATTATTATACACAATAAAATTTGAATTAAGAAATTATATATAATTTTTATAAATAAAAATACTGTACTTTATAAATAATTAGATTATATAAATGTATATAATTATCAAAATAAATATGGAATATAACAACAATTAGTTAATTTAGTGAGATGAGATATTAGGTCCCTTAAGAAAAGTTTAGGAGTTCGAATCTTAACATTTGCTAATGAAACAAATTGAGTTGGGAGTAGAGGTACACAAAAAATTCAAATATCCGATTTTGCGCAAAAAATATCCGAAATTGGATTTGGGAAAAATCGGTTTTTTTTAAATTGGATCAGATATTTAAAAACCAGATAGTATAATCGGTTTGGGAAAAAGTTGGACGATCGGTTATTTTACCAGATTAAAAACTGATTTTTATTTGGAAAAAAATTCGATTTAGGGTTTAAAAAACTAGTCGTTAATATAGCCGTTGAGAGGGTTTTGTGATCGCTTTTTGACCATTTTTTCTATAAAAAAAATCATAATTTTACCATCCTAAACGTGTATAAATAGATTGGGGATGTATTTGGTTGATTACAACTTTCTCAAATCTTATTCACAACACCTAAACATCTTTCAAATCTTTTTTTTTTAATTTTTTGATCATCATGGCTACAAATACCGACCCTAACAAGGATGAATCTTCCGTCGGAGGAAACCTTGAAGTCGTAAGAGTGATCTAACACACTCAAAACAAAGAAATTTGGATCACTACGATTTATGTGAGATGTCAAATGGCTCGAGGAGAACACGTTGTAAACTGTCTAAAGTTGTTTGCACCGGAAGGAAACACAACGTTGAAGAACCATTTTACAAAATCTTGCAAGGCACTTCGCTCAAGATCGAATCCAAGTCAATCGAATCTTACACCGCAAGGTGGTGTTTTTGTTTACGACAAAGAAAAATTACGATAAGCATTTACAAAGTTCGTGATTACAAAAGCATTGTAGTTCGACCACTTTGATGATGAAGATTTCACGTTAATAATTCAACAACTAATGCAATTATGTTATACTCAAGTAAGTCGTACTACCCTTAGAAGAGATGCTATAAAAATGTGGTGTACGGCGAGGGAAAAATGATTTTAGGATTTCAAGAACACCGTTATGGTGTGTCGCTTACATGTGACGTTTGGAGTTCCCCTCATAATACCGGAATTTATTTTTTAGCCGTTACGGCACATTGGTTATATCAAGATAATTGGCAAATGATGAAAAGAACAATCACGTTTGAATTATTCGTTGAGCCGCATACCGGTGCTAATTTATTTAAACTTTTAAAAAGGGTAATTTGTCTTTATAAATTAGAAAATAAAGTTTTTTCTATATCCTTTGATAATGCATCGAATAATACAAACGCGGTTCCAAGATTGAAAATATTACTTTCATCGATTTTAGACGGTGCGTTTTTTCATACCCGTTGCGTTGCACACATAATTAATTTATCCGTGCAAGTCGGTTTAGAGGTTATTGAGCCGATTAGATTAGAATTTAAAGCAATGATAAAATCGGTTTTTTGCAACAACAACAAAAGACTAAATGATTATGAAGGATTTTGTAAGTCAGTTAATAAAAAAGCTTTGGGTCCTAATTTGGATTGTCCAACTCATTGGAACTCAACTTGGATGATGATGCATCCGCATTAAGGCAAAGGGAAACATTGCAAACATTTCACGATCGGCTTTTCGAGAGGGGTCATGTCACAAACATTTATTCGGATTCGAGTTGGGAAACTATAGTCAAAATAACCGATTTGCTTGGGGTTTTTAAAAATGCAACAACTTTTTTATCCGGTGTTTATTACCCTACTAGCCCGTTTGTTCTTAATCAAATATTTTTGTTGGCTAACCGACTAAATGACTTTGAATTTGAAACCAAAGTTTTTCAAGAAATTGGATTTGCAATGAAGGAAAAACTTTTAAAATATTTTAAGGAGATTCCCCCCAATTTTACTTGTGTCGCCACTTTAAACCCAACGTTAAATGTTGGCGGGGTTGAAACACTAATCGAACAAATTGCATTTTCTTTTAATCTAACCTATGATGAACCCAACTTTGTCCAAAACCAAATAAATTATTTTAACAAATGTTTTCGAGACATGTTTGCAATTTATTTAACTAAATACATATCAAGTAGTGTAATACATGATCAAATGTGAACGAATGCAGAATCATCTAGTAGACGTCCAAGTAACATAAATTTGTCACTTTTTAACACTCTAGTAAATTCTCAATCCAAATGATCACGTACTACCACCCCAAGTAGCGAGTTGGGAAATTACATGTCATGTGATTTTCTATCAAAAATGACATTTGAAGAGTTTGAAAGTTTGGATATTTTGGCTTGGTGGAAAGAAAATGAAGCATAATTTCCGATTCTAACCGCCATGGCCCATGATTTACTAACCGTCCAAGCTTCTACGGTAGCTTCGGAATCCGCTTCTTCTGTTGGTGGCAGGGTTATATCGTAACGGAGATCAAGACTAAGTCCCGAGTCGGTGGAAGTATGCATTTGTTTGAAGGATTATTTAGATAGAGCGGCTCGGAACCAACATATCACCACCCTAGAAGATGCAATTGATGTCGATTTGGAAGCAAACTTACACATTGAAGAAGTCGAACTTGGAATATCCCCTCCAAATGAAGAAGGTGAAGATGATGAAGAAGAGATTGCGATGTAGTTTATTTTTAAACTTTGTTTCAATTATCGAACTTGGAAGTTTTAAGTATTTGAATTTATCGAACTTGGAAGTATTTAAGTATTTCAATTATCGTAAACTTTGTTGCAATTGATGACGATGTATTTTTAACATTGTGATATTTAAGTATTTTAATTTATCGTTGACGAGTGTCTTGTGTATATGCTATTCACATGCATAAAATGCTTATAAATACACCTATTTTATCTAGAATAGTTGTGCTTTGTTTAGCTTTTGGTTTGTGATAGGTGTGGGTGAAATGGAGCTTAAATGAGGATCTAATGCGATTAAGTGGAAGATAATGAAAGCTTGCAAGAAATGGTGATGAATGTGCTTTGATGAGAGTGTTTAAGAAGGAAGAACAAAGAAAATAGGACAAGAGTAGTGTTGCTCAGCATTACTCTCAAAGCCTTCAGGAGGAGGAGTAGAGACAGATTGCACAAGAGTAGTGCTGCTCACCACTACCGGTTTTTTTATATTCGTTTTTGTAACATCCTCCATACCGGGTTAGTGATTAAATTGTGAGATTTAAAAATTCAGTGACCAAATTGGATAAATTGAAATGTTTAAAGAATTGATTGAAATGTTTTGTGTAAGATCAATTAATAAAGAAAGAGGATTAGAAGGACAAAATTATCTTTTCATAGCAAGATAATTATTTGGGCTAGTATTATATTAACCCACGTGGAAGTTTAGGAAACCAAAAACAAGTTTCCAGAGTTCTCCTCTCCTTTATCTTCTTCATACGTGAGACCCAAGCTAAAGGTAAGATCTCTTGTTAGTAAATTTCTTGATGAATTTATGGTTGATTTATGACCATTAGACAATAGCTAAGCTTAAAGGAAGTTTAATTTGTTTTAAAACCATAAGATGAGGGGTATATGAAGAATTAAATAAAGGAAGTAGAAAAGTGAAATATTGGATTAGAGTTCATAATAAGAATTGGAAGTGGAATTTGACTTGTCATTAGTGGAATTAAAGGATGTGAAGTGTTAAAATAGGAATTAGAACATGTTGGAATTTGAGTGAGATTCTTAAATTCTATATGGAGGATTGGATTTTTAAGTTTTAAAGGTATTGAATGGATAATAATTAGTTTAAGTAAGGGTATGCATGTTAGGGATATAAAATGAGATGAATTATGTAGTGTTGAGGGGATTATGAAGGGATTTCGTACTAAAAATAAAATTTATGGGCTATGAGCATCGATGCACATTCAATGTGTACCGATGCATCAAGGGTAAAATCCCAGAAATTGTTCAAGGTGCATCGATGCACTCCTTTAAAATAAAAACATCGAATGCCATCAGTATATCGATGCACAAGTAGTGCATCGATGCACCCCCTTAAAATACAAACATCGAATGGGATTTATGTACCGATGCATAGATAGTGCATCGATGCACCCGTCAAGGGATGCATCGATACATGGTGTAGTGCATCGATGTATACCTTCATTAAAAGATGAAAATAGCTTTTCTTTTAACCTAAGAAATGATAGTTTAGAATATATTAATTAGTATACTAATAAGTATCAATGAATTACTATGTAGATACAGAGTCTAAACAAGTTCCAGAACAATTGCCCAGTAAGATCAATCGAGGGAAAGGCAAAGAAATATAGGTGAGTGCATATGCATAACATGAT